ACGGGGTTTCACCATGTTGACCAGGATGGTCTCGATCTCTTGACCTCGTGATCCACCCGCCTCGGCCTCCCAAAGTGCTGGGATTACAGGCTTGAGCCACCGCGCCCGGCTGGGATGCTTTATTATTCATCTCAGTATATGCTCATTATTTTACACCTTTGTGCTGTTTAAATGCTTAAGTGGTGGGGCAAAAGCCCTGGTTGCTCCACTTTGATTATGGTTCTGCCTGTCTATAGTCCAAAGTGATGGCACTGTTAGTTCTTTTAGAAATGGGTATTCGAGCTGGGTGCAGTGGCTCACGCCTCTAATCCCAGCACTTTGGGAGGGCGAGGCGGGCAGATTACTTGAGGTCAAGAGTTCAAGACCAGTCTGTTCAACATGGCTGTACTAAAAATACAAAAATTAGCCGGACATGGTGGTGCCCCGCTGAGGCACAAGAATCTCTTGAACCTGGGAGACGGGGGGTGCAGTGAGCCGAGATCGCACCACTGCACTCCAGCCTAGGTGACTAAATGAACCTCTGTCTCAAAAAAACAAAAACAAAAAAACAGAAAAGAAATAGGCATTCAGGTGTATGAAGTACTTTGGTTCCTTTTCCCTCCTCCAGTGTCATCTTAACCACTACTGAAACAATAGCAGGGAGACAAAGCTCCTCACACTATTGCTCCCAGACTCAGAATTCAAATGAACCCTTCCAGTAGTGAAAGCTACTAACTATGGACTCTGGATAAAGGAAAGCTACTTGCTCCTTCCATTCCAAGTAGTAAAGCTACTTGCTCCTTCCATGGTATTCTCCCTCCTTTTCCTTGAAAATGGGCTTTGTAAAAGGAATGTGGGACTGTCTTGGCAGAGGCATGACAAGGGGAAAGCAATGAGGGGAGACTCAGAGATGCCTCCACATGGTTCTAAGGTAAGTGGTAGACAGCAGTTTCTTCAACCTCAGCAAATGGGCAACTCTAGGACAAACCAACTTCAAAGATGAAACAGTGCTTGCCTGGAACATAAGTTGAGATATTAGGAATGCCCATTTGTTCTGTTTCAAACCCCCTTTTTTGTTCTAATTATTCATTGCTTGAAATAAGGCTCTTGAGGACAAGGGCCGGGGGAGAGCTTCAGAGGTTAATAAGGTAGTATAGACACTAAGATTCTGTCTGTCCAATTTTATTGGGAACAAGGACATTATAACTGCTATCAAAAAGAAGGCAGCCCAGCGGCTCCTCCTGGAGCAAGATCCTTCTTCAGATTTGAGCCAGGGCTGGGAGGGCAAAAGACCCTTTTTCAGGCAGGGTCACACTACCACCTTTAACGGGACTTCCCCAAAAAGTTATCCTCCTTTAGCTCAGTACTTGGCACTTAAGGAAAAAGGACCAATAAAGGTAGCGTTAGGAAGACGAGCCCAAACTTATCAAGATACCCACTCAGCCAACTGCTTTAGTGCTTCTTCATCTTCATCCGCTTTGGGAGCTTTGAGGACAGAGATACCCAGAGAAAAGAAAGGAGAAGCATTAAGGTCTCAGCAATTCCAACCATCCCCTGCTATGACATTCAGAGTCTGCTGAATTGTCTCTCCCCAGCAAAAACCCTAAAGGTGTGGTCATTCTGCTTGTTAGGCTGCTGTTCAATCCCACAGCACCTTTGTGCAAATTAGAAAAATGGTGCCTCTTGCTCCTGCCATTTGCAGCCTTAAACCAGGGTGCACAGTTTGCTGAGTGGAGCACAGGCTAGGTAGGTGCCTGTATGCAGTTCACAACCTGCACAACTGTACCAGCAGCCCTTTCTGTATGGTTCCTTTGAGACAGCATAGATGAAGAATAATCTTTCCTCATATCTCTCCCACCCTCTTAAGTCCTCAAGACAACAGAAGAACCCTGCATACCTGGCCCTGCTGGCAGATGTGTAGAAGGTATACTAGGCAATTTGACTGGGGGTTCTTCCTTCTTGTCGCCCACATTTAGCAACTCCTGAGCCAATTCCTCTTGCTCTAGCTCCTCTAGTTCCTCCAGCAGTTCATCCTGGATGGGGAAAACAAGACCATTCAAGATGAAGAAAAAAACTTCTACCTCCAAAAACATACCACTTTTGAAGGTCCCTCCCAAACCTGCTCCAAGAGCCTCTCTTGGGTGTTCCTTCTGGCTAGTCCCATACTTACTCCAATATTCCCTTACCCCTCACCCCTAATCACCTCATCCACATCATCTCCAAAGCCCACAGGCCGAGAAATGGCATCTGAGATCTGCTGGGCCACCTCCTGTTGTTCTGTGATGTCAGCCATCAGTTCATCTACTTTGTCAATGTCCCTGAGAATGAGATAGACAGCTAAGAAATCAGAAAATGATGCCCCCTTGACTTTCTCATCTAATGTGAATGAAACCCTTCCTGCCTTGTAGGGTCACACTGATAAGCCCATACCTATTAAGTAGAAGAGATCTCTGGAAAATTGCAAAGACACAAGTCTGGGCTAAGAAATAGTAAGGAGCCACACTGGAGAGGACAGGCTACATTCTCTTTCCTGAAGGATTTTTTTTTTTTTTTTTTTGAGATGGAGTTTCGCTCGTTACCCAGGCTGGAGTGCAATGGCGCGATCTCGGCTCACTGCAACCTCCGCCTCCTGGGTTCAGGCAATTCTCCTGCCTCAGCCTCCTGAGTAGCTGGGACTACAGGCACGCGCCACCATGCCCAGCTAATTTTTTGTAGTTTTTGGTAGAGACAGGGTTTCACCATGTTGACCAGGATGGTCTTGATCTCTTGACCTCGTGATCCACCCGCCTCCGCCTCCCAAAGTGCTGGGATTACAGGCTTGAGCCACCGTGCCCGGCTCCTGAAGGATCTTTAAGAATCAGAGAAGGCAGCCAGGCGCAGTGGCTTATACCTGTAATCCCAGCGCTCTGGAAGGCCGAGGCGGGCGGATCACCTGAGGTCAGGAATTCGAGACCAGCCTAGCCAAAATGGTGAAACCTTGTCTCTACTAAAAATACAAAAATTAGCCAGGAGTGGTGGTGTGCACCTGTAATTCCAGCTACTCGGGAGGCTGAGGCAGGAGAATCACTAACCTGGGAGGTGGAGGTTGCAGTGAGCTGAGATCAGGCCACCGTACTCCAGCCTGGGCAACAGAGTGAGACTCTGTCTCATTTAAAAAAAAACCAAAAGCATGGACTGTGCCACACACCCAGTGATCCATCCAAAAACAAGGACTGCAGCCTAAATTCCAAATACCAGAGACTGAAATTTTCAGCCTTGCTAAGGGAACACCTTAATATTTGAAACTTTGTGTTTTGTACAGGGCATTCTCTGTACTAGTTTGTTGTGGTTATAAAAACAATTAGCAAAATAGCCTACATTTGTATTTATTTTCTGTTCCATATTTCTGTGCCACATTGTTTTCTCTCAAAATCCATTCCTTTAAAAAATAAATGTTGCAGATATGAGAAAGAAAGAAAGAAAGAAAAAGAAAAAAAGAAAGAAAGAATTAGAAAAGGTGGCTGGGCATGGTGGCTCCTGCTTGTAATTCCAGAATTTTGGGACGCCCAGGCAGGTGGATCACCTGAGGTCAGGAGTTCAAGACCAGCCTGGCCAAAATGACGAAACCCGATTTCTACTAAAAATATAAAAATGAGCTGGGCATGGTGGCTCCCACCTGTAATCCCAGCTACTCAGGAGGGTAAGGCAGGAGAAACACTTGAACCCGGGAGGTGGAGGTTGCAGTGAGCCGAGATTGTGCCACTGCACTCCAGCCTGGGCAACAAAATGAAACTCTATCTCCAAAAAAAAGAAACAAAACAAAAAAATAATTAGAGGAGACATCTTTCCTCCCTAGAATGCCCCAGCCAGCGAAAGAATCTTATAGGAAACAAGGAGGCAGACAAAGGTCTAGCCATCACAAACATCCGTACTGTAAATCCATATTCTGAGAGGCTTTAAAGTATGGTAGCAAGCCACTCTTCCCAGTGCCTGGGCCCCTCCACCCCTCCCCCCATACCCACATGTCCTGGTAGGCCTTCTTCATGCCTCGGGCAGCAAGCTCCATGGTACGAAGAACTTCTGCATTGGTGGTGGCATTCTCAATGGCCTCACGCTGAAACTCCAGGGTGGATAACGTCCCGTCAGTTTGTGCCAGCTGCTGTTCCAATCTTTTCTTTCTCCGCAAAGCCTGTAGGGCGGCTGACCCAACCCACACCCTGAACATCAAGAGTCAGAAGCACCTGCTTCCCATCTGGGCCCTCCCCATAGGCTCCTTTCCCTCATTACCTCTCTTATTCTTGGTCCCATACTTCTTGGCTGTTTGTAGCTCCTGCTGAATCTTCTGCTCCAGAAATTCCTGTTTCTTGATCAGTATCTTCTCTGTCTCCTTCAGTTTCTGTATTGCTTCTTCAGGGGTTGGCCCCTTCTCCTTCTTCCCTGAAGAGTCCAATGAAGTAGGCCCAAATTTTGTGAAGGAAAAATATTAGCCACCAATCATTGAATGCATAGTATGTGCTAGGCACCGGACTGTGTTATGGCTAATCCCCAAACCTCTACAATGAATGTGCTATCTCTTCACTTTCCAAATGTGAAAACAACCACAAAGATGTTAAAAATCACAACTAGTAAGAGATTGTGCAGGAATCAAAATGTGGCAGTAACAGTTCTAAAACCAATATTCTTTTTACTATTCCTAGCTGCCTTTTCTTTTTCTTTTTTTTTCTGAGATGAAGTCCTACTCTATTGCCCAGACCAGAGTACAGTGGGGCAATCTCGGCTCACTGAAACCTCCGCCTCCCAAGTTCAAGTGATTCTCCTGCCTCAGCCTCCCGAGTAGCTGGGTCTACAGGCACACACCACCATGCCTGGCTAATTTTTGTATTTTTAGTAGAGATGGGGTTTCATCATATTGGCCAGGCTGATCTCGAACTCCTAACCTCATGATCCACCTGCCTCTGCCTCCCAAAGTGCTGGGATTACAAGAAGGAGCCACCACATCCAACCAAGAAGGCAGTATTTTTTCTTCACCTTAGATCCCTCTTGCCCAGCACAAAGTATTTTAGAACAAGGTTTTGGAGAGGGCTGAAGACAGCAGGAAACTCGTCTTCAAGCCTGAACAATGGGAGCCGGCACGATTGCCACGCCCTCAAGTCCCCTCCCGGATCTTGAGTTCTCCCCTCTGAGAGCGGGGAAGGACGGCGGATGGGAACAAGGCGCCCTGATAAGGTGTGCCTTCTGGCACCTGCGATGAGCCTTGCTCCGCCATCGGCCGGGGTTTTCCAGCCTGTCTCCCGAGTTTCCAACCCCGGTGCAGCGGTCCGGCCAAATTTCGCCGGGGTCTCCTCTTCCTCAGCACCAGCCAGCGCGTCCTAGCTGGCCAGTCCCACCCCGGCTCACCCTTCCCGAGGAGCCTGCCGAGACCACTCATCGCCTTTCCCGCCTCCGCCACTCGGCGTCCTCCAGACTTCCGCCTTGCTCCTGGGAGGATGATGTTTCATCACACAGGGACCAGCCTTGCCCAATCCCGCCTTAGGGCGCCGCGGCTACATCATCAAGAGGCGCAAACCAGACCACCGCTATCACGTGACCCAAGCCATCAGCCCAGACCGACGTGATCCTCTTAAAGCGGCCGCATCATTTTCTATTACATAAAAAGGCAGTTCTGTCTCCACCCGAGTATATGCTTATTCTCCTGAGGGAAATGTGCAGTGTGATGGCACATCAATGTGTGGGGTCAGTGGGAAAACTCTTCATGCTCTTTACAGAACTAAGGAAAATGGTAATGGGATGGGTTCAAGCACTTGGGGTTGCCCTAAGTTTAGATGGCAAACCTGATGCAATCTAATGTCTCATATTCTGCTCTCTGCACCTCAGGACAACCAGCCCCAGTTCACAGGCTAGAAAAATAGAAACTACCCACACTGTTGGCAAAATCTCTTCTGTCACACACAGATGAACTTTAATAAATTACAAATGCACCTGAAAATGCCTTCTTGATTTACTTTCAGTTTAGGCCTCAAAGGAGCCTCATCCTCAAGGCTGGACCTCAAGGCCCATTTTGGGCCTTTGCAAATGTCTCTAACCCTTGACTTAGAGTTTGAAGATTCATTCCATTCTGGATGTGAATGCAGGTAACACCTAGAAAGATAATAAGTCACATTTCATCAGGCTTTCAGGGCTCCACATTATTACTCTGACCTTTGGGGGTGCCACCTACAGGGCAAACTATCCATCCTGTATGTATCTAATCCCTCCTAGGGACCCCAAATGGCTGTCCTCATAGCTCAGTACCCAGTTTGCTGACATCTACAATATTCCGCCTCTCATCATCAAAGAAGATCATCTGGGAGAAAGGAATTCCAGTCTTCTGCTGTAACCTGTGCAAGATAGGGCAGGGGTAACCAAGCTAGTATTTTGGTTCCCCAAGCCTCTCTGGTACTTTCTCACCCTGTTCCTCCCTTATCTCCACATACCTCTCAAAGTGTGTGACTTTGCTGCCTGGATAGATTTCCCGATGAACAAAGTACCTGATGAGGTCAAAGAGCTCCAGTAGCTGGTTGGCCCCTTCTATCTCACCTGTCCTGCAAAACGGTGTGAAAGATGGGATTAGCAAAGTGAAGGGCCAGGGCTACATTAACTTATTAAGCAAAGTTAATAAGTATAAGCAGGGGAAATCAACTTGCTGTTTTTTCCAGGATGGACAGGCATCCTCAGCCTCTGTTTAACTCCACTGCCTTCCTGTTTGACACAGCTGGTACTGAGCCAATGTTTTAGTTTTTGTTTTGAGACGGGGTCTAGCTCTGTCACCCAGACTGGAGTACAGTGGCCCAATCATGGCTCACTGCTGTCACAACCTCCTAGGCTCAAGCGAACCTCTCACCTCAGCCTCCCAAGTAACTGGGACTACAGGTACATGCCACCACAATTTTGTTTTTGGTAAAGATGGGGTCTCCCTCTATTGCCTAGGCTGGTCTCAAATTCCTGGGTTCAGGAATTTGGGTTCAAGTGATCCTCCCGCCTAGGCCTCCCAAAGTGCTGGGATTACAGGTATGAGTCACTGCATCCGGCCCCACATTTTAATAATTAAAAGGCACAGGAGAGCACACAAGGAGAAAAAATATGCAAATACTTGCAAACTTGCACCGCCCCTATTTTTGTAGCCCAGGGGTTTCGCCGTAAGTCTCATGCATGTACCCTTCGGCATTACACTATCAGTTTTTGTCATTTGCTTTCCTTACCGTGAAGCAGCTGCACCGGGCACCCCAAGGCTCTGCAATCGTTTTAGGACCTCAGGCACCTCTGGGTACAGTCGGACGTCTTGGCCCCGCCTATCTCGTACAGTTCCATCACTGGAGAGGGCAAGAGTACACTCAGCCCTGGCCAGGCCCCATCTCGCCCCAGTCCTCCATGTCCCTACCTCACCTGCTCTTGTGAAAGGGGGGGTCTACGTGCGTGTCGACCCAGAAAGGCCATAGAGTGTAATCTGCAAGAGGACGGAGAGGGAAGGTTCAGCCTGGGGGTGGGGGGCCCAGGGACTCGAGAGCTGCAGTTAGGGATGTGGAAAAGGAGAGCGCCTTACGAACTTCTCCCCTTACCGTCCCTCACCCAAATCAAAGACGGCCAGCTTCGGTAGCCGCGCCATGACCCGCACCGCAGGCGTTGTGCAGAGGTAGAGCTTCACCCAGGGCCGTAGAGACAGCGGCAACTCCGGCAGCTACCACAGCTACCCGGCCTGCCATAGACAAATGGCAACTAGAGTCGCCACTCAGAGCGTCGTCAGCCTGGAGACGGCGCAAGAGCGCCCTCTGATGCTGGGCAGAGATGAGGATTGCAGTAGGATACCAACACGACCACACACTCAACCGTAGCAGTCAAGTCTCTCCAAGGCATTTGGCCACAGGCATCCTCTCTACTTCCCTACTCCATCCAGCCTTGCCGGATTCTATAAAGCCAGGGAAGAAGGGAAGCATTTTCTTCTAGCACCTGCCTCTTCTCGAGACCAAGTGATACATCACAGCTTGCCACTCAATCTTTCTCCATTATCAACCTCTCCATAGTGTAGAACCCAAAACCCTCAGTAATATTCCATCCAGAGTGCAGTGTCAGCCAAACCCTTGACGGCTTTCTCCAACCAGGCCTGAATGTCCACTAAAGCAACAATCAGAGAATTCACTCTCCTAATGTTTCCACCATCCATGTCAGCACTACACTGGTAGATGTTTGTGGGGAGGAACTGATCTGTATTGTTTGCCAATTTCTGTAAATAATCCTACAATGGCCAACTTCAAGCTACCATCATGAAGTCGCTTAATAGCATTGGAAAGAGCTGCCAATAATTGGCTCTCTTGAGTCACTAGGAACTGGCTCCAGCAAACCACTAAGTAGGCTTTCCTAGAGTCTCATAATCCCTCTAAGAATACCATCCCTTCCATTGTCCTGCTCCTTCAGCCTGTTATAACTGAGTGAGCATTAGGTCCATTTTTATTTCAGTCAGCTTGTGCAACAGAAGAAAGATTCCAGGAGGCCAGGAAATATTTTATTGACAACCAGGGACACAGCCATAAGAGAGGGAAGCACACAGGACTGCAAACTAACACCCAATAGCCAGCAAGGGCCCTCTGGGCCAGGAATACTGCAGCCTGGGGTCCTCATAGTCTCCCACCAGTAGACATACATTACTGAGCATCCAGGGGAGGGGGCAGTGGCTCTTGTGTCCCAGACGGTGAGAGGATATATGATGCCTCATTATGAGCGACAGGGTAAGGAGGTAAAATGGAGGGTCCATCACTGCCTAACACCACTTCCCCCTCTCAGAGCCAACACGAGGTGGAGGACTGAACCACCTAAAATCTTGTAATCAGCTGCTGTCTTCTCATCATTCCTGCAGGAAAAGGAAGCCAAAAAAAAAAAATGCCTTAGAACAGTTTTTTTGTTTTATTTTGTTTTTGAGACAGAGTCTCTGTCACTTAGGCTAGAGTGCAGTGGTGCAGTCTTGGCTCACTGCAGCCTCTGCCTCCTGGGTTCAAGTGATTCTCCTGCCTCAGCCTCCTGAGTATCTAGGATTACAGGTACCCACCATTACACTCGACTAATTTTGGTATTTTTAGTAGAGAGAGGGTTTCGCCACGTTGGCCAGGCTGATCTCGAACTCCTGACCTCAGGTGATCCGCCCCCATCAGCCTCCCAATGTGCTGGGATTACAGGCGTGAGCCACACCACACCTAGCCAGAACAGGAGTTCTTAACCTAAATTTCATGGATCTCTTTTGGGGTCTGTGAACTTGAATGAGGAAAAAAAAATCTCATCTTTATTTTTACTAACCCACAACTAAAATTTAACATTTCTTCTAACTTTAAACATATGCCAAGAACCACAGTAATATTAGCAATATATTAACTTGTTAACAATAGAAATTAGCTATTTTCATATCATAATTATTTGTAGGTATCTTGAAAATATTTCAAAATTATGGTCATATTAGACCTGCTATTAGATCTCATGTGTTCATAAAAAAGCACATATATTACTATATCACAAATTTGTTTTAGTATTTTGATAATTGTATTTCAATATAATTAGTTTTCTTTGTAATTCTATATATTTTGTTTCATGCCTGAAAAAATCTTATTCTGAGAAGGGGCTTAGAGGCTTCACCAGATTGCCAAAGGCTCTAAGGCACCAAAAACAAAAGGCAGGCCTGATCCACCTCAGTATGTGGCCCCTCTCATCTTCACAGAAGATTGCCATGCTGTCATTCTCACTCCAAACTCACATCTGTTTGCCACTGTAGATGAGCCTCTGCTGTTGTGGGGGGATTCCCTCTTTCTCCTCCACACGCTCCTTGATTCGCTCCACCTTTAGAGAGACAAGTAGTCAGAAGCTGCTCAAGGGTAGGACCATGGAAATGGAAAGAACAAGGGCTATGCAGACAGCATGAGAGCAAAAGGGCCAAATTTATAAGCATACGCAAACAAATATACATGGCAAGAAGTATATGAAAAGAAGTTGGGCATGCATCACCTTATCTGTAGGTTCAATGTCAATCTCAATTTCCTTTCCGGTCAGCGTCTGAAACAGGCAAGGGTTTCATGAGTCCTAAAGCCCAATGTACAATTTTTGTCTTTTAGGTAAAACATCCCATATTGGTCTTTGGGATCCACTGCCTTCTGAGAGATGCATATTCTCAGCAGCACTGCTTTGGAGAATTAGAAGGCTTTGAACATACCTACATTCATCAAATATTTTTAGGCTGTGAACAACTTTGATAGAGCAAGATTCTTTAAATCATCTGATTCCCTTAATCCCGTGAGTCATCTTCCATTGCCTCTCCCATCCCCCAAAATCACTGAGAATATTGGCATTCTTTTGGATGATATGGCAATGAAAACTATCTTTTATTTATTCATTTATTTATTTTGAGACAGAGTTTCATTCTTGTTGCCCAGGCTGGAGTGCAACGGTGTGATCTCAGCTCTCTACAACCTCTGCCTCCCGGGTTCAAGCAATTCTCCTGCCTCAGGCTCCTGAGTAGGTGGGATTACAGGCATGTGCCACTACGCCTGGCTAATTTTGTATTTTTAGTAGAGATGGGTGTTCTCCATGTTGGTCAGGCTGGTCTTGAACTTCTGACCTCAGGTGATCCGCCCGCCTCAGCCTCCCAAAGTGATGGGATTACGGGCATGAGCCACTGTGGCTGGAAAGGCATCTAAAAAAAGTCAGAAGGACCTTATTCTGTTATAAATATCAGTGCTAAAAATTAAGATAATTCAAATAATTCTCGAGGACACCAGAAATCACCTCTAAGCAATTTTTTGTAAAATGCTAGAATTGGCTGCGCATGGGGGCTCACACCTGTAATCCTAAGGCTTTGGGAGACCAAGGTGGGAGAATCACTTGAGCCTAGGGGTTCCAGACCAGCCTGGACCAAAAAAAAATTAGCTGAGTACAGTGGTGCATGCCTCTAGTACCACATACTTAGGAGGCTGAAGTGGGAAGATCACTTGAGTCCAGAAGTTAGAGGCAGCAGCAGTAAACCATGATTGTGCCACTGTACTCCAGCCTGGGTAACAGAGGAAGACACTGTCAAACCCCCCACCCCCTGGAAAAAAAAAAGAGAAAAGAAAAAAAGACTAGAAGTCAACATTGCATCCCCCATATCTTTATAGACTTCTACCTAAATCCTAAATTGCAGCTCTTGTCTTCTTGACTTCTTCCATAGGTTAAGGGCTGGTGATATCCAAACACAACAGTTATACTGATTATGCAGTCACAAATGCTGTGTTCCACCCATTCTCATCTCCCATTCCTCCTTGCTCTTAAAGCTCTATCTGCATTAGTCTATAGTGATCCAGGCCACAAACACACCATGCTCATCTAATTTACAGGCATTTCTTTGTTTCTACTGTTTTCCTTGTTGCAATAACCTCCCCTGCTCCTTCTCCAAACTTCAAGACCCCTTTAATATAAGATCTCCTCCTGTATAATGTGTAGACCAGTTCCCAGTATACTTTATTAATACTTCCAATATTAATATACCAATTACAGCTAGTTGTTTAAGTGTTAAACTTTCCCAGTGTTTGACACATAAGCAGTCATTGAGTATTTTTGAAGGGCTAAATACACTGATGATCATGTTATAATCACAGCTAACATTTACTGAACGAACACTTTCTATTTTTCTCCTTTTCTTTA